GGTCGTTAAGAACCAGACCTGTGTGATAGTGGAGACAGGCACAAAACAGATCATTTCAATATAACATACACTTTTATTTTTTTAAGTATGCAAAGAATCCATCTCAGACCTCTCTTCTTGAGTTTCAGAATCATTCATCCAATTGCCGTGTATCTGGACATGGTATGTTTCACAGGCATGTTAAGCTAGACATGTTCAAAACTGAATCACCAGTTACCTCCCAACTGAGTCTGCCTCTATGTTACCTAAATCAGAGACTGGCATCCCATTTATCTGGGTACTCAAGCCAGAAAATTTCATTTGTACTTATCAAGCATCTCCAGCATATAAAGATTTGTGCTAAGCTGTGAATACATGACAGCAAATGGCGTAGTCCCTGTCTTCACTAAAGCTTGTTGAAACTCTGTCCTTGATTTATCCCATTTCTGCCCTCACAATTCAGCCAGTCACCAAGTTTTGCCATTTCTACTTCCTAAAATTCTTCTGAGATCTATTTCTACCCACACTGGCAATGCCCCAGTATAAACTGCCATCTTTCTTTCCCTGGTTTACTACAATTATCTCCTAACTGGTTTCCTTCTTGCTGGTATTGCCACCCTTTGAGTTCTTTTTCTCAGAGTAGCGATTCATCATTTAAATACTAACCTAATCATGTTGATACCATTCAAAGGTACTATTAGCCTTAAGAAGGAGTCCAAAGTTTGTTACATCATCACTAATGCTCTTCATGATCTGGTCCCTATTTACCTCTCCACCCCTGTCTAGAATCTCTGTTTCTAGACTGTGTTCTTCTTCATAAACATTGTTAGCCTCTATCTAGAACACTTGTCTTTTACCCTTTCAATTCCTAGCTATTCTCAAGCATGGAGCCAGTAAGACTGAACTGCCTTTTTTTTTATTTTTATTTTTTTTTTCCCTATGAGAATGTAAACTCTGTCAGGAAATTATTAGATTGGTTATTGCCATATTTGCTTTTTCATTATTACATTTCCAGTATCTAGCTTAGTATCTAGCATAAAATAAGGGTTCAATGAATATTTTCTGAATGAATCCATGAATGTCAAGAAAGCAGAGAAAAATCAACTAACTCAGACTATGGAATAAGGAAAGGCTTCTTAGAAGAACCCTAAAAAATTAGTAAGGATAAAGAAGAGTCAGCCAAAGAAAATAAAGACAGTCCAGACAAAGTCAACAAGAATGTGAAAGGTCTCAGGTGTAAAGCAGCCTCATGAATGCGAAGTGGGTAGGATGGGAGATGGTACTGGGGAAACAAGACTGGGAAGGAAAAGAGTGGCAAGATGATGAAGACCCTAACATACCAGGCCATGGAGGTGGACTATCTTGAAGGTGACCGTGGAGGGAGATCAGAAATTTAAGGAGGCAAGTGAAATAGATTTACATTTGAGTCTGGTCATTCTGGCTGATACTTACAAGATGGATTTGGTGGTGCAGGTGGGGGTGGTAGTAGTTACAGCTGGAGGCAGTGAGATGAGATAGAATTGGGAGTACAAATGAAAGCAAAGGACAAATTAGAGTTTGAAGGGCTCATGAGTCTCCCAAATGTCTGAACTTCAAGGAAGAGGTTAGGAATAGCAGTAGTTTTAGAATCCATGAGCAAATAGGTTAAAACAATGAGTGGATAGTCCTCACAGGGAAGACACAGACAGAAAACAACTCAAGGTTGGAACTTTGGGAAATACTATTTAATGGGCAGGCAGAGAAAAAAAAGACCCCCAAGAAGCATGAGACAGGTAGAAAAAGATGGGAAAAATGCAAAAGGAGTTTCAAGGAGGGTTTGATCAATGACACCAAATGCAGAAAAGAGGTCTAGAACAAGAAACAGTGGTCATACATTAGTGGAGGAAGTACGTTACATTTTCTGAGACAGACAAATAAGACAGGTGGCTATATGTGGCATTGACAGACGTGGAGAGGGAGGAAGTTATATATTGTATGATGGCTTTAATTTTCTCAGTTAACTGGGAAAAAAGTATTGGAATTGTCTGTGGCCCCTACGGAATCTCTATTCATAAGAATAGAGATTCTGATGGCAAGTAGAGTGTAGGACCCAATCAGTATTTCACCTATTTCTACATTAGACCAAGTGTGTCAACTTTTTGTCCCTATTGATCTGTTAAACAAAGTAGATATAACAATTTGGAAACCCTGTCACTTAAAAAAAGAGATTTGTTTAAAGCACTAGATATCACAGCATCATCACTTGCATTAAAGATAAAGTCCTAGCTGCAGGCTGCCATGGTCTCTTTGGAACACCCCCCATCTTGTCACTCAAAGGTCCACTCAGTCCTGATAGGTCTGTCATCCAGAATTTAAAGTGCAGTCTAGAAAAGGAACATGAAATTAAAATTAGAAAGGCAATAGACACAACAAATTGCAGATGCATACGAATGTGTTATGTGCTTGAAACATACCTTTAAGACTACTCTGGTCACTTTCTATTAAAGAGAGGAATTTAGGCTGGGAAGAGGAATGAGGAAAGGGTAAAGTTTGTGAGAAATCACTGAAAGTTACAGGAAAGGGAAATTACTGATGATAAATTAAGGGCTTGTCAGGAATCAGGGAAAGAGCTGAAGATAGAGACTGACAATCTGTCATATGTCACTTTGTGTCATTTTCTCCAGTGTTTCCAGTTAAGGATTTATAGACAAGACTCAGGGACAAGATTTTGACAGGCACCTGGGTCAGAAGCATCAGACACAGGAAGTTTGGATGCTGATAAACCATGCAGACTAGGCTGTGAAGGGAGGTATTAGCAGGAGGGCTGACAGGGAAAATGAAATAGAAGGGCAAATGTAGCACATGTGAGGGTATAAAATTATGATGCTACAATCAGAAAGAACACTGAAGTTTTCTGCAATTGTCAGTGTTTTTATAGGTGATAACAAAACTCTTAGACTAATGTCTAGGGTGAGAATTCTGATGTTCCACCTTCTACCTTACACTGACCAGTATCAGGCAACGAAAAGTTTTTAAAAGTCAGATTTAACCTTCTAATTAAATTAATTTGAATAAACATTCATTTTTTAAACAAATAATATACTTCTAATATAACTATTTATCACATCAATAGTAATATTAACCCCCAAATAAACAATATTTATTGTCGATACAACAAAATCGTCATCTTGCTCTTTTCTTCCTTTGCCTCATTTTTCTCTTTCTCCAAGTTCCATTCTAATCTTGGCTTTCACATAAATCGCTTGGTTTTTTTGTCTCGATTCTCAACAACAACTTAGACATTTGTTAAGCACTTGCCACTTGCAAGATACTTTACTAGGGACCATGTATAAATAATAACAGTCAAAATAACAGCTAATATTTATCAAGTACTCATAATTTTGCCGAGCACTTAATTAAGCACTCTACGGGAACTAATTCACTTAATCTTCATGATACCCTATAAAGTAGAACTGTTATCCCTATTTTAAAGATGCAAAAACCAGCTCAGTTAGGTTAAATAGCTCGCCTAAGTCCACCTGGGTAGTAAATGGTGTAATCAGGGATTTCAATCCAACTCCCTCTGACCGTAGAGATGTGCTCTCAGTCACTACACTATGGTTCCCTTCCCTGCCTCTAAGGACATATGATTTGGTGGAAGTTATGCACGTATAAGTAATCACTTTGATTTGGCAAGTGTCAACGAGACAGGTCTCTTTTTTCTGCTTTCCTCACTGACTCTAATATTTTTTAAAAATCTATTTTCTTAACCTCCTTTTGAGTCTTACTAGATTGCGACTTTGAGACTTATATCAGTAAATAGACATTGAAAGGAAAGACAAAAGCCCTGAACTAATGAATATGAAATGTATTTTTATTTAAAATTGGTATAGACTTCACTATCAGTAGGTTTAGTCCTTCAACCCACAGGACAAAGGACCGGTATTTGTGTCTACATTCAACACAACCTTTCTAGCACTTTTTTCACATAATTCAGTTGAGGTTCCCTATCCAACACACGACTGTCACCAGATGATGCTCTACCCTGTGACCAGATATAAGTTTTATTACGTCCTCTCATGTCCCAAACCTCAATAAAACTTAATGGCTTTCTCCCCTGACAACTAGGCCTGCCGTGGTTTCCTAACTTGTATTAAGTGCAGTGTTTCCACTCTTGCCAAAACAAACAAAATACCATGTAAAAAAATACAGATTTCAGGGTCCCTTATCTGAAGAATGCAACTCACTCAGGAATGTGCAAGTTTGGGGAACAGTTCAGTGGTGGAAAGCACCTGATGTTCCTGGCTCCTCCTGAGGGCTGATCGAAGAGGGAGAAGCTAAAATCAGGAGACCTGGTTTCTACTTTAGACAGTACCACCTACTGTATAACTTCTAACAAATCACTTCTCACTGAGTCCAGTTTTCTTGTCTGTAAAAGCGAGAGGATTTGACCAGATGAATGTTACGTTCCTTCCACCTCTTGAAGTCGTGCTTATGAGCACAGAGTCAGAGGATGTGTATTCATATCCAAGCTATGCTACTTGTGCGCAGATAACTGCATTCTCTGATTCAGAGCCCTCACCTGAGGGGATGATAGTATCTCTCCACTCTCCCTTTTCTCCCCTTTAATGAAATCTAAATGAGATGATGCTTATAAACATCTAACAGAACCCGGCACATAATCAATGTTCAACAAATTATTATTACTCTGGAATTCTATAAATTACCTCTGCACTTCCTCCCTTGTCACCCTGAACTTAGTGAAGTTTCCTCCACTTGGTTTTGCTCTTCAACTCGGACCCCGAAAACGCGCTCAACGCCGGCGGAAGTCACGCTGAGCTGGGCTATATATGCTCAACCCCGGTCTCTTCCCCGAAACCGCGGCGCTTCCACTTCCCTCAGTCCGAGGTTCCGACTCGGCGCCAGCTCCGCGAGCAATGGTTCCGCGATGCGCCCTGCCGCTTCCATGACAACTCCAGCCCCACCTGCCTGGCGTCTCTTGAGCCCAACCGGCATCCGTCGCGGTTGGACGTGGGCTTGCCGGAACGGGGCGGGACTTCCAGTAGGAGGCGGCAAGTTTGAAAAGTGACAACGGTCGACGTTTGCTGATTTTTTACTTTGCTTGTAGCTGCTCCTCGAACTCGCCGCCTTCCTGTCGGCGGCCGGCACTGTAGGTGAGCGCGAGAGGACGGAGGAAGGAAGCCTGCGGACACCTTCGCCATCCCAAGGCGCGTGCAGGTGTCGGGACGCAGGGCCTGGCGGTGTTTTTGTTGTGCTCAGCGGTGTGGGAGGAGGCGGAAGAAACCAGCGCCTGGGAGGTGAGGGGCAGGCCCATCGTTACTTTTTATTTGATTTTAGTCCCAGAAACAACCAGAGTTCAGTTCCTACGAAACTAATGGGTGTTTTCTGGTGCAGCATAGACCAAAGAAGACGAGCTTGAGCTGAAATTGTTCAACTTAGGCATACATTTATGTGTGATTTTTGGAAAGGTGGTGGTGATGTGGCTTATTTGGCCGCAGATGCTTGTCAGCTTTTTACACATCTCCGTTGCCAAACGTTTCTTAACCAAATCCAAAACCATGAATGAAAGGACAAAAATATCACTCTCAATGCAACTTTCAAAATTCAAAGGAAGAGAGCAGCGTATATATAGCACTACGCATGCGTAACGCGATCATTTTTTGCCTTTAAAAGTTCAAGGAACATTTTACTTAATTCATTGAAGTTGGGAGTCATTTCTGTTTATTTTTGTTTAATCTCTGCCTCCTGGAACTGTGATGTCCCCAAATAGTTTATTTTAACGAAATAAAATGTGTAAAATTTAACAGATAATACTTTTAGTACGTACTCTGCTCAGCATCGTGGTGCTGCAAATAAATGAGAAACCAGAGGAATAATTAGCAGTTAATCTCCGCTACTCGTTAGACAGAGTATTACTGCGTATATATTAAGTCATTTATATACTTTATCCCACCCAGGAGCTCAAACTGTGTAGTTGGAAAGTGTCTTTCTTCATCTCTCGTTAATGAATAAATTGTAACTGAAATGGTACTCCGAAAGAATGATAGAATTTGGATATTGGAGGAGGTTCCAAAAGGAAATACTGGAAGTTTGGGAAAGTTAGGAGACTAACTTGGAGCACAAATTTCATTCAATTATTAAAGGTTTTGGAAGCCTAGCAGAAAAATTTGAATTTGATGTGGGTAAGGTAATTGAAGTATTTTCGTACAAATATTATATGATGCATTAAGTGTTTTTATAAGGATTAATCTGATAGTAGAGTGCCAAATATTAGAGAAGAGAGGAACGAGTGATAATAATTTTGAAGATACTTTACACCTATGCTTTCTATTGCAATATTCTGTAATTCAGATGCAGGTTTTTTGGAAAAGTGACTTTTTCTGAAGTCTTTCTTTGGTCCAGTCCTTTTATGAACAACCTCTAAGTCTATGACTTACATGAAAATGTAGAATGCATATTTATGCCGAAGGGGACATCTAATATGTGATGCATCAGAATCTGGATTCCAAAAGATCCCAGCTTTATGGCCTGGCAAGGTAGCTCATGCTTGTATCCCAGCACTTTGGGAGGTTGAGGTGGGAGGATCACTTGAGCCCAGGAGTTCAAGACTAGACTGGGCAACATAGACCCCATCTCCACACACACGCAAATTAACAGGGCGTGGTGGTGTGTGCCTGCTGTAGTCCTGGCTACTTGGGAGGCTGAGGCAGGAGGATAGCTTGAACCTGGGAGGTCGAGGCTGCAGTGAGCTGTCATTGTGCCACACTGCACTCCAGCTTGGGTGACAAACTGAGACCCTGCCTCAAAGAAAAAAAAATTAGACAAAAGGTCCTAGCTCTAACAGGAAAGCTTGCAATCATGAAATTTAATGGTAGAAAGTACAAATTCTTGCTTAAGGTTCAAATGATCAGTTTATACAACAAGAACACAAGTGACCCAGCAGATGTGACCAAAAAAGAGGAAAAGGGGGGAAAAAAAGAACAGGGAGAAGCCGTCTTGATACAAGACGGTCATGGTGAAGTTCTTGGAGTTTCAGTTGATCAACAAGTGCTACAGCAGAGGCCATTAATACTGTGCCCTAGACAGACCATGTCGTGTTCAGTTTGGGCACTACATTTTAAGAAGACATTTACAAAATAGTGTGTGTTACAGGAAGATGAATAAGATGGTAGTTTCTAAAACAATGTTGTTATAAGGAGTATTTTAAAGTTACATATAGCCAAACATAAACAAATTATACTTACTTTAAAGAAGGGAGGGCTTAGCAGAGGTGTAATAGCTTTCTTCACATTTTTGAAAATGGTGTCATGTAAACGGAGATTAATATATTCTATTTAGTTGCAGTGACTGGACCGGGAGGTAAAATTACAACAAAATATATTTCCACACACTGTAAGGAAGAGTTATTTAATTTGGAATCATAATAAAGTGGGAAAAAGTTGCATTGAGAGTGAATTCTGTGATGATGTCACATGTTCAAGCTGAATTGGGAAGTTATTTGTTAATCGTTTTTTAGAATGGCTTCCATTTATTAGAGGTTAGGCAAGTTGCCAAAGCTCCCCTTTTTAACCCTAAAATTCTGAAAAACATTAGGAGCCTAAAGAAATAGATTCTCAGAATTGTGGGCCATTTCAATGTGTTTGCAAAATTGAATATATTCACATTGGGTCTCTAAGATCATTTTGCTTCACTGGAGAGTAGGGGATCTGAAGGTAACACAACAGGTATTTAAGGGAGTGGCTGAGCAGTGGCTGCTATTGCTGCTCATTTCCCTCTTGCTGTTACTACTGCTATTTTTGTGGTTACAGGGAGAGATACGAAGAAAATGAAAAGATCCTGGAATCTCACAATGTAGTGTCAGAGTTCTTTAAACATAGTTTTGGTACGTTGCAACTAGTATCATAACAGGGTTAAATGCAAGGCTCTAGGACAAGGGTTTCTTTCTTTCTTTCTTTCTTTCTTTCTTTCTTTCTTTCTTCCTCCCTTCACTTCCCTCCCCTTGCCTCCCCTTCCCTCCCCTCCCCTTTCCTTCCCTTTCCTTTTCAACACAGGGTCTCTATCACCTGGGCTGGAGTGCAGTGGTGCAATCTCTGCTCACTGCAACCTCTACTTCCCAGTCTCAAGTGATCCTCCCACCTCAGACTCCCAAGTAGCTGGGACTATAGGCATAGGCCACCATGCCTGACTAATTTTTAGGTTTTTTGTAGAGATAGGGTTTCATCATGTTGCCCAGGCTGGTCTTAAACTCCTGGGCTCAAGCGATCCACCTGCTTTGGTCCCCCTCAAAGTGCTGAGATTACAGGTACAAGGTTTTTTAACATCAGCATTTATTGACCTTTTGAACTGGATAATTCTTTGCTGTGGGGGGCCACCCTATACATCACAGGACGTTTGGCAGCATCCCTGGTCTTTACCCACTAGATTCTAGTGGCACCCACACTCCAGGGCTGACAACCAAAAATGTCTCCAGCCGTTGCCAGATGTGCCCTTGAGGATAAAGTTAGAGAACTACTACTCTAGGGGGACACAGATAGGAATAACTCACTACGTGAAGACATTAGGAGATATGGTTTTTCGTTTTCTTGAAGTTCTCACTCTGGTGATAGGAATTGCTACCAATTATATAATCTATTCTTATTCAGTTGTTTTTCTCTCTTCTGTTTGCATCCACAACCTGATTAGCCATCTCACTATATATGTATTGAATAGGATGTCAAAACTGAATACAATTTTTTATGCCCTATATTACTGTTGTTTATATATGGCTTCTGCTGATAATGTTGCCTATATGCCTTGCTTTGAGAATTAATTATTAGGATTGGTCTTGTTAAGCTCCTTGGCCCTCATATGTAAAAGAAAAGCACATGGTTCCCATCTATGTATTCAACCAAAGTCCTCCTTCCCAAATGTGTTTTTCTCTTCCTACAAAAGAGAACAACACTAGGAAAATTAGTAGAAAATAACTGTGTCACCTTAGAATAAAAGTAATTTGAGGATACATATATAAATACTTGTCTTTATTTTACTAAGATATTTGATGATAGTTAACACTACTATGAATAGTTCAACTTTGGCTCGTTCATTTTGTCCTTATATTTATTAGTTTCCAGATAATGAGAGCTACTGATTATGTGATATTTCTAATATTTTTTTCTTCCTTCAGATTAACAGGAAACTTCCAAGATGGAAACTTTGTCTTTCCCTAGATACAATGTAGCTGAGATTGTGATTCATATTCGCAATAAGATCTTAACAGGAGCTGATGGTAAAAACCTCACCAAGAATGATCTTTATCCAAATCCAAAGGTAAAAGGTGGTTATGTTTGCATGTGGATAATGGTATTTAAGAAAAAAGTAAGCTACTAGGTCTGTAGTGTGGCAAGAAAGGGATATGCCCTCCTATTTGATGGAGATCATTTTCATCGAGAGAGAATCTCTCACCTAGCGTAATTTAAAAATAACACCAAGTTTATATGTGTGGTGACTTCTACATTCCCATTAGGATTCAACTCTTTAATATAGTCGTTTTCTTTTAAAAAAAACAAACAAAAAAACAGCTTCTAAAACATATTAAAGTATATTCAATTTTTTATTATTATTGGAATGGTGGTCTGAGAGTATCATTTATTGGTAGGGGTTGAAGGAACTTATTCCAAGTGGTTTTCAACCACAAAAAAATGCTTAGAAATAATCCTCTTTGGAAGCTTACAGATTAATTTTCATGCATTATGCCCCAGGGGGAATTGACTTGTTTTCACAGGTACTGTTTTTTCTATCTTTAGTTATTAAATACAAAGTGAACTATTTATGTGTCACAGAAAATCCCAAAGTCTCCTTCCAGTTTCTTGTGTTGGACTTGAAGTGATAACATAGTAAAACCTGGTTTAATGATGTAGAACTCAAACTTTCTGACATCGCTACCCCCTTTGATTCTTGAAAATGGAAGAAATACTTTTAGAATAACTGATGTCTTCAAACTGAGTAAATTCAGCTTTCTTAAAAGATTACCACGTTTTCCCTATATTTCTCGTCTTTCTGCTCACCTAATACAGTTGTATTACTACATGGATCAGAACAGATTAACATGCCTGCATTTAGGAACTGCTGTTTTAGAAGATCCAATTTTTAAAATCATATATAACCCTATTACATTTATACCTCCTGATCAAAGGTTCCCTTAAACTTCACATCTAAGGAAACCTTAATATCTGGGCAGCAAACAAGGTTTCCTGTGTTCTTTAAAACACACACACACACACACACACACACACACATTTTCAATGTGCCGTTATTTCTGCCACATGCCTGACAACCTGTTCTGAAAGACTAACTCTTCTTCCATTTCCTAAGGTGGATTGGGTTGCTTGGATTGGATTTGGATATACCTGCTCTCTCGTTCTTAAACAGCTGATCCCTTGACCACTTATGTATGAGCAAACTAAGCATCTTGTGTTAAATTTGGAAAAATTAAGGAGTATTTCAAGGGAAATGAAGTAATTTTGTTGCCTTTTTCTTCTTTGCTTTCATTGACTATAATATTGTATGGTAATGATGATAGTATGAGTTTATCATCATTATGATAAACTTTAGAGTTATGCATCAGAATATTCAAAGTTGTTTTTGCTGTAGCCTGAAGTCTTGCACATGATCTACATGAGAGCCTTACAAATAGTATATGGAATTCGACTGGAGCATTTTTACATGGTGAGTTTAAGATGAGGCAAAATTATGGGGTTTTTTTTTTTTGTTCGTTTGTTTTTTTGTTTTTTTGTTTTGCTGCAGTTCTGCTTACAATGCATACTGGCTTTTATGATGGGAAGTTATTGACTTTATTTTTAACAAATTAAAAGACATAGAAAATTAGTGTCAGTTACATTGGGATCTTATGCATAATAATGGTTTATATCCATAGCTTTAGTAAGATGAAAACCATAGTAGAAGACTTAAATGACACAGATTATTGATGCTTTGCAGTTGTTACAAATTTATAGATTTGTCTTCAGAGACTATAATAAACAATAGCTATGTCTTCATATTGTTCTCTTCTCAGGAAGAACTCCCAAATTAGAGCAGAAGATATGCAGTAAGATTGAAACAATTGAAATGAGGCAACTGAGCTTTTAGCAAATTGAGTATTTGCATAGTACCTGATATTTAGTAAATGCTAACCTTATTCCATTTTAAAAATTCATTTAAAAATCTTTATTAAGCACCTACTATGAACCTAGCATTAATAATAATGAAAACTCTGTATTTATACTAGAATATGTATTAAGGTCTTTAATGATAATAAGTTAATATATTTTGATCTTAGCTGAAGATTTTTCTCATTTTGTCTAATCAATGTGTACGGTTGATTTTGTGGTTTATTGCATTTAGATGCCAGTGAACTCTGAAGTCATGTATCCACATTTAATGGAAGGCTTCTTACCATTCAGCAATTTAGTTACTCATCTGTGAGTAAAGAGTGATTTTATTGTCTTAGTCTACATTCATATTTATATTGCATTATGTTTTCTTAAAGACATAATTTTCTTTGGGAAGGAATACCTACTATGTTCCTCTTCATTTCATCCCATATACATTCAAAATTTCAAAATTGTAGACTGCCACCAAACAGAACTGCCTCCAACTGTGCCACTTTCTCAGCATATTTTCAGTTGAACTTGTAAGATAGTGTAAGTCTAAAATTGTTTACCATCTTTGTGAAGAGGTTTGAGTTCTTAAAAGAGTCTTAGTGTCACCAAGTTTATGTACTGTTTATTAGAATCTATAACTATACTTTAGTATTGCATGACTATGTGATTAATATACAGAAAAAATAGATTTCAGTGCTTTAGGGTTATACATTATAGTAGACTTCTGGCTTCATCCCCTGACCTTAAGAAGTATATCCAGAAATCTCTTTCTGAGAATAAGATGTTTATATCCTATGGCTTAGTATTTAATGTGCAAAATACTTTTCAATAGTCTTTTTTGTACTTCATCTTCAAGGGACTCATTTTTGCCCATCTGTCGGGTGAATGACTTTGAGACTGCTGATATTCTATGTCCAAGTAAGTGAGAATTCAAAACAATTTTAATATCTGGCTTCAATCTACCATTTCACCTTCACCTTTCCATCAGTAAATGTAAAAAAAAAAAAGAAAAACAACTTCAAGGAAATTGCCTTTAAAAAGTATATCCCATTTTTCAATATGAATTTTTAATGTCATGTTGGATTTTTTTTTTCCTTTTAAGAGCCACAGAAAAGCTGTTTTTCTGATTTTTTAGAAACTCTTTCCATTTAAAAAGTGTTCTATAAATTTGGGAATATGAGTACAAACAATATGTCATTGTGGTAGGTAATAACATCTTCCCTCTCATTTTTGTCATTAATAATTTGTTTCTTTATTCTTTTTTTTTTTTCCCTAACCAGTCTGGTTTTCAGCTTATCACTTTTCAAAGAACCACCTTTTGACTTAATTGACTTTTCTATATTATATGTCTTTTTATTATTATTGAATTTTGAACTTATTGTTATTCTTTCTTCATGGTTATTTTGGGTTTCATTTACTCTTTTTTTTCTAGTTTTTTTTTTTAAGGCAGTAAGCCGAGTCCATTAATTAGATACCTTTCTTCTTTCCTAATGAGTATGTATTGCTGTAAATTTACCTCTAGCGCTGCTTTAGCTGCATCCCCCAAACCTTGATATGTTGTATTTTCATTTTTATTAGGTTCAAGATATTTTCTAATTTCCCTTTTGATTTCTTTTTTTTCATGTACGGGTTATTTATAAGTGTGTTGGCTACTTTCCAAATATTTGGGGATTTTCCCACATTTTTTTCTGTTACTGATTTTTAAGTTATTTCTTTTGTGATCAGAGAATATACTTTGTATCATTTGAATCCATTTAGATGTATTCAGACTTATTTTATGACCCAGAATATGGTCTGTATTTGTTGACTATGGTGGTTGTAATAAATTACCACAAACTTGGTGACTTAAGATAACATACATTTATTCTCCTATAGTTCTAGTGGTCAGAAGTTCAAAACTGGTTTCACTGGGCCAAAACCAAGATGTTACTAAGGTTGCACTCCTTCAGATGGCTCTAGGAGAGAGTCAGTTTCTTTGCCTTTTCTAGCTTCTAGGGTTGCATTTCTCAGCTCATGACTTCTTTCTGTCTTTGAAGCCAGCAGTATAGCATATTTAAATCTCTTTCCACTTTCATGATCACATTGCTTTCTACTTTCTGTGTATAGTCCAATCTTTCTCTACTCTCCTCTTATAAGGACACTGTGATTGCATTTAGGGCCCACCTAGTTATTCTATAATAATTTTCTCATTTTCAAGATCTTTAATTATACTTATAAAGCCACTTTGCAAATAAGGTAACATGCACAAATTCCAAGGAGTAGGACCTGAACATCTTTGGTTGCTATTATTCAGCCCACCACATGGTCTACCCTTGTAAAAGTTCCATGAGCACTGTTGTTGATGAGTGGAGTGTTTTAAACATGTTAATTGGATCTAGTTGGTTAATAGCGTTGTTCAAGCCTACTGGGTCCTTACAGACTTTTTTTTGCTGGTTGTTCTATTGAACTGTTGATAGATGTTAAAATCTTCAGCTATGATTGTGAGTTTGTCTGTTTTGTCTGTTCTTTAAATTTTTGTTTTATGTACCTTGAAGCTCTAGTTTTAGAAGCATACACATTTAGAATTGCTATATCCTCTTGATGACATAGTCTTTGCTCTGAAATATACTTGATTTGATATTACCATAGCTACTTCAGGTTTTCTTTTCATTAGTGTTACCATGCCATATCATCCTTGTAACTTGTGTCTTTATATTTAAAATGGGTTTCTTGTAGACAGCATATGGTTGGGTCTTGCTTTTTAAATTCAACATCACTATCGCTGTCTTTTAATCAGTCTTAGACCATTTACATTTAATGTTATTATTGATATGATTGGGCTTAAATCCACCTTTATACTATTTGTTTTCTCTTTGTCCTGTTCTTTAGTCCTGTTCTCTCCATTTCGTGCCTTATTTTGGTTTATTAAAATAAATTTTATTTTATATAATACTATATATGAAAAAGATATTCTACCTTGTCTGTTATTGGCTTATCAGCTATATGTCTTTTTCAAATGGTATTTGCTCCAAGTTTTAGTATATATGTATATATCTTTAGCATACCATTATCTGTCTTCAAATATAGTATACCTTACAATAATATACTTTTATTTTCTCCACTACTGGTCTTTGTGCTATTGTGTCATAAATTTTACTTTTAAAGATATCATAAACCCCTTAATCAATATTAGATTTGTGTGAAACAGTTATCTTTTAAAGGATTTTCTATTTTGACATTTAAAAAATACACATAGAGGGTACAAGTGCAGATTTCTTGCATACATATATTGTGTAGTGATGAAATCTCAGCTTTTAGTGCACCCATCGCTCAAGTAGTGAACATTGTACCAAATCAGTAGTTTTCCAACCCTCATCCCTCTCCTGTCCTCCCACATTTTGGAGTCTCCAATGTCTGTTCTACTTTGTATGTCCATGTGTACCCATTGTTTAGTTCCCGCTTATAAGTGACAATGTGCAGTATTTGACTTTCTGTTTCTGAGTTATTTCACTTAGGATAGCCTCAAGTTCCAACCATATTGCTGCAAAGGACATTATCTCTTTAGTGGTTGAGTAGTGTTCTGTGGTATATGCACACCACATTTTAAAAATCTAATCCTCCAATGATTGACACAGGTTCATTTTATATGTTTGCTATTGTGAATAGTGCTACAATAAACATACAGATGCATTCATTTTTTTGATATGATTTCTTTCTTAAAGAGATTTTTTTATATGAGGAAAAATGTCTTTTATGTTAACTCACATTCTTTTAAGTACACCAAATTTCCATCTGGTATGATTTTTCTTACACATGAAGCATTTTATTTAACACTTCTTGTAGTGCTGTTAAAAAGCCTTTATTTCACTTTAATTTTTGAAAGGTATTTTTCTTGAGGCCAGGTGTAGTGACTCTCACCTGTAATCTTATCATTTTGAGAGGCCAAGGTGGGAGAATTGCTTGAGTCCGGGAGTTTGAGACCAGCCTGGGCAATATAGCAAAATCCTTTTTCTACAAAACAAACTTTAAAAATGAGCCAGGTGTGGTGATGGATACCTGTAATCCTAGCTATTCCAGCAGCTTAGATGGGAGAATAACTTGAGTCCAGGAATTTGAGACTGCAGGGAGCTATGCTATGATCATGCCACTGCATCCCAGCCTGAGCAATACAGTGAGACCCGCTTCTTTTTGAGAAGGAAAGAAAGAAAAATGGATAAATAAAAGGTATTTTTCTTAAGCACTCAGTGGATATGAAAAGTCAAGTTTTTAATCCATAGTTGGTTGTATCTGCAGATGCACAATGCACAGATATGGAGGGCTGACTATACTATGCCATTTTTTGTGTGTTTGTTTTGTTTGTTTTTTCGGGTTTTTTTGTTTTTGTTTTTGAGACGGAGTCTCACTCTGTCACCAGGCTGGTGTGCAGTGGCACAGTCTCGGCCCACTGCAACCTCCACCTCCCAGGTTCAAGTGATCCTTCTGCCTCAGCCTCTCGAGTAGCTGGGACTACAGGTGCACATAACCACACCCAGCTAATTTTTGTAGTTTTAGTAGAGAAGGGGTTTCATCATGTTGGCCAGGATGGTCTCGATCTCTTGACCTCGTGATCCACTGGCCTCGGCCTCCCAAAGTACTAGGATTACAGGTGTGAGCCACCACACCCGGCCACTGTGCCTGGTGTAAGGGACTGGTGCATTCACAGACTTGGGTTCTGTAGGCATCCTGGAACCAATATCCAGCAGATACTGAGGGACTACAACATAGAATTCTTAGTTGACAGTTTTTTCAGTGCTTTAAATATATTGCTCCATTGTCTTCTGACTCGCATTGTTTCTGATAAGTCTGTTGCTTTTCTTATCTTTGTTTCTTTCTCTATAATGTGTTTTGTTTTCCTCTGGCTGCTGCTAAGATTTTTTTTTTTTGCCTTCTAAGTTAGTTATTAGCAGTTTGAATGTAATGTGACTTTTGGTTGTTTTTTGTTTGTTTGTTTGTTTTTCTGTTCTTTCTTCCCTCCCTCTCCATCCCTGCCCCCCATTTAGGTTTGTTCACTTACTTGGATATGGTTATTGTTTTTATACAATTTGGAAAACATTCAACTATTCTGTAAAAGTTTTTTTGTCCCTTCTTTTTGTAGGATTCCAATTACACATTAGTTATGCTGCTTGATACTGTCTCTCAGCTCAGATATTGTATTCTTTTTTTTCTCTCTGGCCTTTATTTTAGATGACTTCTATTATGTCTTCAATTTCATGAATCCTTTTATTTTAGGTCTAATCTGTTATTCCTATCAGTGTAATTTTTATTTCAGGTATTTTTCAACTCTTAATTCAGATCTTTTTTAAAATATCTTTTATTTCTTCATATGGCTGATTATTTTCTCTGCCCCCTTTATTTATTTATAAAGACTGTTTTCACATTCTTATCTACTAAATCTATCATCTATTTATTTGTGTTATTTTTTAATATGTTTCTGTTGATTGATTATATTTTCTTATGGATCATGTTGTCCTTTTTGTTGGCATGTCTGGTTATTTTTAGCCCATGCCAGACATTGTGAATTTTACATTGTTAGTTGCTGGATTTTTTTTATTCCTTTAAATATTTTTGATTGTTTTCCTGGCCTCAGTAGTTTCTTCCTATTCATGAACTAATTAGTACTTAACTGAGAACTTGAGGGGATTCCTCTACAGATTTCCAGAACTCTTTCTATTTACAGCTTCCTCGTCTCAATACTCAGTTCCATAAATCCTAGTCGCTTTGGCTTCTACTAACTCTAAACTCTGTCTTCTTGATCCAGCAAGATTCACAAGTTTTATTTGTGTTCTCTTTCTCTGGAGTACAGCCTGAAAACTCTTCAGTCATAGGCTGGTGCAGTAATAGAGTTCACCTCATTTGTTTCTCTTGGCGATTGCTATACTGTATTGCCTGTTGTCCAGCATCTAAAATTTGTTGCTTCATGTATTTTTATTTGTTTTTCTAGTTTTTTAATATGGGAGGGTAATTCTGGTTTTTGTTATTTCTTCATGACCAAAAGTGGGTTGCCTTTTTTTTTTTAAGTTATTAATACAAAGATAATTCTTACCTTTAAGTTTGAGCAGATTTTCTACACTTTATTATAACCTATACAGTTTTATTTTATGTATTATGAGCAGAATATATAGTGGAAGAGGATGAATTTTCATTTTCATGTTATGTTAGTTCAAAGGTTTATTTAAAGAGTGTTGCTTTCTATTTTAGAAGCAAAACGGACGAGTCGGTTTTTAAGTGGCATTATCAACTTTATTCACTTCAGAGAAGCATGCCGTGAGACGTATATGGAATTTCTTTGGCAATATGTAAGATTTAAATATGTTTTGGGGTTACATGCCAGATCAGTAACATTATTTATGAACTTATAATCTGTTTTGAAATTATTGCCATAGATAGCAAATTGCTGTATTGCCTTTAGAATTGAATTCATTTTCATATTTATGTAAACTTGCAGATTTTAGTTACTGGAAAGCATATCTCAGAATCGGATTTTCTTTGAAATTTGGTAACATTATGGAGATGCTGAGTTCTGCTTGTTTTAAAATCTTGTAGCTGAGGCTTGTTTTCCTTTATGAGGAAATGTTAGGGAATATTGATATGTTTACATTTTTTTCTTTGAAGTTTGCATAATTTAGCTTTTATTAAATAATGGACATATTTGAGGTTTATATTGCCTTTTAAATAATGGCATAATTGGACTGTTTGTGGTGGTGTTTATCATGGTTGCTCAGATTCAGTCCAAGGCAATCTCTGTAACAGACAGAAACTCATTTTCCTTTTATCAACAATTTAGAGAATTTGGGAAGATTATGAGTCATCTGTGTGATTTTTCCCATTTATCTTCAGTAATGGGGTACCATACTCTTAGAAAAGCACCAGAGTAACTCCAAACACTTAGACCCTAGGCTCCAGCTTCACTGAGCTATATGGATCCATACTTCTTTGCACAAATCATGCTAAGCTTATACCTCCTAAACATCATATAATCTTCAAAGCTTACCACATTCATGTGCCAACATACACACACTCTCATAATTTTGCTTGGTTAAGTATCCACTATCTTTAAGACACATCTCAGACATCTATCACCTCTACGATGTCCTATCACCCTTCTTCCTAGCCATTACCCAAGTTGGGTTAGATGTCACTCTTGTTGGTTCCCATTATATTAAAAACAACAAGCTATTTTGTGGGTTTTTATTCTTGTATCTGGCTCCTCAAGGAGACTTAGCTACTTAAGTTCAAGACCTATAAGTTAGTCTTCTTGAGAATTCTCAGTACTGAGCTCAGTGCCTATGATGAGAGCCCGACATTTGTGTTGAGTAAAGAAATGCCTAATTCATTTGTCATGAAGGCCTAACTCTATCTTAAATTTCTTATTTCTGATGGTTCAAACTATAGTATGAGTAAGCATTTTGGACACTCTGATTGTGTTGAAATGCACTAATATGAGATGATTAAAATTGCTTTAATAGAAATCCTCTGCGGACAAAATGCAACAGTTAAACGCTGCACACCAGGAGGCATTAATGAAACTGGAGAGACTTGAGTAAGTGGGAGATTTACAAGTAAAATAAATTCAATTTCAAAATGCAAAATGAATTGTAAGTAGTATTTTACAACCCTATAGTCCACCTTGAGTCTCTTTTATCTCCCTTAATAAATAGCAGGGTATTTGAGTTTGCCTTTTCTAAAAAAAAAGAAAAAAGAAAAACTAGTTTTTCTTCTAACTCTTAATTATGTAATACATCCTTTGGCTTTTTCTGTTGTTGATGTGTTAGCCTGATTTGTTTAAAGCCTTTAGCTTACTCTTCTAATTTGTGTCTGGAATATCGTCTTATGTAAGTGAGCAGTAACTGCCTGGACTATGTTCCTTCAAATCAGTTGATTCCATCAAATGTTTACTCTTACAACAGAGTTTTTTGTCTATTTGTTTTGTTTTTGACTTATAGGTAATGTAGGGAAAAGAATCACTCAACAGTTGTGATTTCTTGGCCTTCCTCATATATATATTGATTTTGAGCAGGATTTTTGAAATCTCTTCTAATTTATAGAGATGTCTTTGAGGTTATCTATTTTAGGTGAGAGATTTTCTAACCTGCCCCTGGTTAAAATTGCCTTTACAGGCAGCAGTAAGCTGAAAAGACTGGGGACAGGCAGACATTAGACTGTAACAGGGTAAAAGATACCACAAACTAAATCAAAAGAAGAATGACAAAGTGGAGAGAATATTTGCAGCACATGCCACAAAGCCTTACAACTCTAATGACAAAACCCATGTAATATTCCTAATATACAAATATAATATACAAAACTATAAAGCAGCCCTTTAAACTGATAGGAAAAAGTATAACTTTAAAAAAAATAGATAAAGGCTTTAAACAGGGAGTTTATATAAAAACAGCTAATATATCAGATAGGCAAAAACTAAATTTGAAAACATTCATATAGAAGAGACTTGAACACGTGTAAGTGTTGTAAGGAAGGACTAGTAGTGGAAGAATGGATGATACGGGAGTAAGAGATGTGAGGCTATGACAGCCAGTACAGAGGTAGAGAAATCAGCATTACCAGAAGGAATACAATATGCATTTTATTAGGAGTGAAGTTAGAAAGGGTAGGTATGTATGTGGATGGATCCATAGATTTGATAGTAGAGAACTGAAGGAGCTCATTTGATTTTTATTTTTTGCCTGTAGTAGAGGCCAGATCATTCATTTTAAATGGTTGCCACATGAAAGGGTGTAATTCAGAAACATAAAAGTAGAGGATTTCTTCATCTAAGTTATTTGAGGACAGGTATTTCATTTTAGCCTTTCAAAACTGAAGAGCGGTATTTTAATCTATTTTGCTGTGTTAAGTTCTGTTCCAGTTGAAGAGCAAGAAGAGTTCAAGCAACTTTCAGATGGTATTCAGGAGCTACAACAATCACTAAATCAGGATTTTCATCAGAAAACGGTATCTGTTGTGGGGCACCTTAAACTTTAAGAAATAAAATTTGTTTGTAGATGTGGTGGGGACATATAGTGGAGGTAACAGCACATTGCTTTCTCTATTACCAAAGAAATAGAATATATTTCTGTGCCTATTTGTGCCCCTTATAATGGATATATACTTCTCTCAACCATCTAGAACCATGATGGGTTTTGTTGGCAAAGTTTTTTGTTGTCTTACTGAATATAATTTTTTAGGGTTTTCCTAGGTCTAGTTTTGCTGCTTCCAAACCATGTACTGTGGCGCCCTGGATACTACAGTAAACTCTCAAGAATGCCTCAAAGTATCTTGAATTTTCAAGGGAACCACTGTAGTACTCAGCATCTGTCATATCCTTCTTGAATTCAAGGAAGTTCACAGTTTCAATTTTTGGTCACATTCCTTTCATATCCTTGTGAAGCTGGGGTTTGGCATTTACTGTGGTAAAAGCAAGTACAATGTAAAAATCACTGTGACACAGGAAATGAGAATTCTATATCTAATCTGAAATATACACTCCAAGGTACATGAATGTATGCAGTGCCCAGTAGGTACATACATCTAACTAGGAAGTACTCGAGGTTATTTAAAAACAAAATAAAAAATTTTTATTTCAACTTACATGTATTATTTTTCAAAGGGCTACAATGTTAGGACATAAATACTTAGGCCGTTATTTGGACTTAACTACTTAGTAAAGGAGCTCTTAGATATTTCTTTTGGCTTAGGAGCATCATGAACAGAGAAGGTTTAAAGAATATCTGATCTAACACATTTAACTCCTTTCTTACCTTAATTTTATGAGACAGCAGTGAGTGGCTAAATCTAAATGTTTTGAATCATTATAAAACATGTGTTTGCTTTTTCCCTTAGATAGTGCTGCAAGAGGGAAATTCCCAAAAGAAGTCAAATATTTCAGAGAAAACCAAGCGTTTGGTAAACATCTTTTCTTTTCACTAGCATTTAAAATTTGAATATATTGTGTAGAGGAGTATTTTAGCTGTGTGTGTTATTATTGTCAAATGTTTCTCCCTTTTTTCCCTCAAAATGAAGCAATCTTTTTCAACTTAAATATAATAGATGACTATTGTTTTAAAAAATACCAAAACACAGAAATGTATGAAGAAAGTAAAAATCACCTGAAAGCTCACTATACAATCTGATGTATATCAAAGATTGTATTTGCTATGTATATGTAAATATACGTGTGTAATTTTACATAAATGATATTAGGCTCAATACGTCTTACCTGCTTTTTTCCCCATTTAGCAATATAACACAGGTATGAGTTTTAAATAGATCCTCATTATATTAATGCTTGCTTCTAGTTGTGCATTATATGTATGTGCTGTCTTGTAGATCCTTTTAATCCTCTACTGATAGACTTTCACATTGCTTCTAATTTTTTGCTATTAAACAGAAATATATGTATGTGTGTATCATATGCATACATATGTACATACATACATTTCTGCAACACGCTGCTTTTATTTAAAATAATTTTTTTTTGTTTAGGATTTTTGGGTCATAGGAAATACACATGTAAAATTGACCAATGCAGCCAAACTGATTTCTAGAAAGATACCAATTTATATTACTACCAGTAGAACAAGAGACTGTCCCTTTCCCTACACCCTTGCCAAAATTGGATGTTTTCAGGCTTTTAAAATCTTTGTTACTGTTATATTGAAAAAAAAAATTCTCATTTTATTTTTATTTATTTTATTTATTTATTCATTTGAGACAGAGTCTCACTCTGTCACCTAGGCTGGAGTGCAGTGGTGCGATCTTGACTCACCACAACCTCCACCTCCTGGGTTCAAGCAATTCTGCCTCAGTCTTCTGACCAGCTGGGACTACAGGCGCGTGCCACCATGCCCAGCTAATTTTTGTATTTTTAGTATAGGCGGAGTTTCACCATATTATGCAGACTGCTCTCGAACTCTTGACCTCGTGATCTACCCTCCTTGGCCTCGCAAAGTGCTGGGATTACAGGCATGAGCCACCACGCCAGGCCAAAATAATCTCATTTTAATTTAATTCCTTTAATTCTAGTGATTTCGGCCATCTTGCTTAGTGATTTCTTGTAATTTCTTATTTTGTATGTTACTTGTTTGTGTACCTTGCTTATTTATTTATTTTATTTATTTATTTATTTTTTGAGATGGAGTCTCACTCTTTTGCCTAGGTTGGAGTGCAATGGCATGATCTCAGCTCACTGCAACCTCTGTCTCCCAGGTTCAAGGGATTCTCTTGCCTCAGCCTCCCAAGTAACTGGGATTACAGACATCCGCCACCACTTCCGACTAATTTTTTTGTATTTTTAGTAGAGACAAGGTTTTACCATGTTGGCCAGAGTGGTTTTGAACTCCTGACCTCAAGTGATCCACCCACCTCAGCCTCCGAAAGTGCTAGGATTACAGGTGTGAGCCACCGCACCTGGGCACTTATTTATTTTTCAATAAACTCCATGAATTAGGGATTTTAGCTCTCCATTTATTTGTCTGTCAAATTTATGTATTTTTTGCCCATTAAAAGGTTTATGTTTTTATGTAATAAAATTTATAGATAAGGCCTTTATGGTTTTTGGCTTTAATTATGTACATAGAAAGGACTGCCCTATTCATCAGATTATTTTTTAATACTATATTTTCTCATTGTACTTTTATAGTTTCCTTATTATTTTAACATGTATTCTTTAGATCCTTGAGAAACTTACTGCGGTATTATATTTCCCTTATTTTTCTATATTTTTTTAATTGGGAAATGCTTTCATCTGAGTAGTACTTACTATGGCTCAATTTTATTATTTACTTCTTTCTGTCCCATTTAAATCCAAGTTAAAACAAACACTTTGTACTTACCAAGTTTAGACCTTTTATAAAGAGGAGAAAAGTGATGAAAGTTAACACTATTGTAAGGAAAATAACCTCTAATCTTGTAGAGCATTAAAAGAGAGTAGATAATGTGATTTGCAGAACTCTAAGAATAAAATAACAAAATATACAGAAATTACAGGAATACATTATATCGAACATGCAGTTTTGGCCTCTGAGTTAGCTGATCAAAAAGTAAGAATCTTTTAAGTTAAAAATATTTAGACAAATTACACAACACAGTAATACATTCTTGTTATGAAATATTCTCTCTTTACATACACACACACACACACGTATATATATGTATATATAGAGAGAGGAGTATACATATATATATATAGAGAGAGAGAGAGAGAGAAGGGTACGAAATGTGAAAGGCCTCCTCTCAGCCCCTTTTACCTTGAGGTAATACTATTCCCTTCCTTTTTCCGACACCATATGTATACACATATAGAGGCACATAATCATGTGTCACTATTTTGTTCTGTTTTTATAGAAATGTATTTATGTCTTATATGTTGATCTGTGAATTGGTTCTTTCACTTAATATATCTGGAAAATCTTTCCTGTTAGTACATAGAGTCATCGAGGGTCCCTAGACAATGTAAATACAACTTATCAACAAATAGAAGAAAATTCATAGGAATTTTTTTGACATAATTTCAGACTTAAAACAACAAACTTTCAAGATAATTTCCAGCCACCCTTCACTTCGATTCTTTGAATAGTTACATTCATTTTTGAAATTCAGGAGAAGGGAATTTGTTTTCATTCAGCAAGCATGTAGTGAGCACCTTCTCAGTGCTATAACTTTATTTGGGTACTTGGAAAACCAAGGTACATTTTCACAACTCCAATTTGCTCAGTCTTATGAAACACATATTAAGTACATAATTATAGAGTTGCACGTACAAAAATTGTACTATTTAAAGAAGAAGCGTAGAGAAAATGGGAGCAGGATTTTCAGGGATCAGTACAAATTTAGCAGGTAGACAGGAGTGGGATAATGATATTCTAGGAGGACCCTACTGGTCAAAGAAAGATCACTTATACTTGTCTAAACATAAGATCAGAATTACCAGATGGTAGGGTGCAGTAGGGAACTGGTGGGAGATGAGACTAGACAGGATGAGAGTAAGAGCCATGTAATGAAAGGCTTTGAATGTCCTGCTAAGGAGGAGCTTGATCTTTGGCCTACAGACAAATGTGAGCAATTAGGTAGGTAAGTGATGTGTTCAGAATTTAATTTTACCCCCATTACAGAGAACATGGACCTAATTTCTTTGTTCTTTCCCATTATACTAGAATGGTAAATCACCAAGTTTATTATATCTAATATATAAAAATGTTTTCTCAACAGAATGAACTAAAATTGTCAGTGGTTTCTTTGAAAGAAATACAAGAGAGTTTGAAAACAAAAATTGTGGATTCTCCAGAGAAGCTAAAAAATTATAAAGAAAAAATGAAAGATACGGTCCAGAAGCTTAAAAACGCCAGAGTGAGTTTTCTTTTTATTTTAATGCTTTTGTATCTTTAAAAAAAAAAAAAAGCAAATTCTTGTTTAATTATGTGTTATTTTTTGGATTTCTGAATTATCTATACTTCCTCTTAAACTTTTTTTGACCTTATTTCTTTGTAGCTTTTCTCTAGAGTGGATATGGGGAAAATAAATATAATTTCAAGACATATGTTCAATCATGCAACAAGGCTTTGCTCTGGGAGATCAAAACAGAAATGCTGGGTCGTGAGATTTAATTACTTTATTACAAGGGAGAAAAGTATTAAGTAATTTTACAAACAATTGTAATTATAAATTATAATTATATACTATGACAAAGTATAAGGTATGCACGTGTGTGGATAGGGGTATATGAGAAATCTCTGTACCTTTTGATTAATTTTGCTATGAATGTCTAACTGCTTGAAAAATTAAAATCTATTAATAGTATCAGAAAGAGGAAAGGAAGTATAGAGTGCTTTGAAATAATGTAATAAGGGGAGCCCAGTTTAGTATTGGGCTGGAAGTACAGGTGGAAGAGGGAAGGAGGAAGGCTACCATTCTTCAGATGCTAGCATTAAAAAAAGATACTTTTCATTTTAAACATAGCAGTACCAAGGCCCAATTCATTGTGTATGGAAGAACATGAAAGGCAGAGGGAACAGCATATGTGAATTCTGTGAGGTAGTAGGGAGTAAGGTATGTTCAAGATTATGGGTTATGTAGGAGATGGATTGACATGGTGCAATACAAACTTAGAAGTGGGCAGACAATTTACCATCTTTTGTGAAGCATTGTTTTTAAACTATTAATTTAAAAAACATATGTGGTTTGTCTTTGAATTTGTTATCCAATTCTTTGTTGAAAATTAAGATTATCACACAAGAATAGACAAAGATCACCAGAACAGAAATGAGAATCCAGAAATAGATTTGAGTATTAATGAGAAAAGGATGATTTATTTAAGAAACAGTTCTGGCTCAATTAGCGATTGATCTAGAAGAAAAGGGTGTTGGGCCTACACTTTGCTCTTTTACAAAAATAAATTTTATATGTATTAAAAATTTACCTTAAAAAATTTAAGTTTTACTGATTTTAGGAGAACATTTATATAATCTTGGACTAGGATAGATTTTTTAAATTAAGATTGGAAACAGAAAATCTTTAGAGAAAATTAGACATATTAGAACATAATTACAGTACATATGACAGGTAGAGGGATTATATCCATGATTTGCAAAGATTACAAATTAGTAAGAAAAAGAAAAAAATAAGGTAGATCGAGGGGTAGGCTAGTGAGAATAAGGGAAGGAGTCTTTGTATTGTTACCATGGTTGTAGGAAATATATGTTCATTTTGTAATTTTAGATGAGGAGTTAATCTTTTTAAAAGAATTAACTGTAGTAGTCGTTATTATACAAATGAATAGGAAGATTATAAATGAGTAATACGATTGATAGCCCAGGAGTAATCAGAAATAGTTTGAATATTAGCAAAATAAACTATTTTAATATCATCATTAATAACTTTTGGAAAGTATTTCATCGAGTAATTTAGTAAAATTATGGCAATTTTCTTTTGTTTGAAGATACTTGGCAATTAAAAAACAATTATTTGTGCTTAAACACATGTCAATAATAGTGCTGTATTACTGACCTAGAAATTTAATTATTCCCTGCTCTTAAGTTTCAGTATTAAATGCAGAAATTATTTAAGAGCAAACAAATTGATATTACTGCAGCTTCATTAAGAAGAATATCAAACTGTGGTCTTTGTTTTTCGTCTTTCAAAGCAAGAAGTGGTGGAGAAATATGAAATCTATGGAGATTCAGTTGACTGCCTGCCTTCATGTCAGTTGGAAGTGCAGTTATATCAAAAGAAAATACAGGACCTTTCAGATAATAGGGAAAAATTAGCCAGTATCTTAAAGGAGGTTTGTATTGTATGGAATTTTTATGTCTTTGTTATATACAGTTTACTATAGTTCCTTGGATTTTGCTTTCACTTTTTGTTACTGTTTTCCTAAAGAAAAGCAGGGTCATTCTACAATATAATAGATGTGGCAGTGTATGCTGTGAAAATGACACTTTTCTTTTTAAATATAGCAGTAGCAAGACCCAATTTTTAACCTTCAGATGAAATTAATAATAACTAACCCAATACATTGCTGTGTATATTTTGGAAAATAGTACAGTAGCTCCCCCTTATCCTCGGGATTCATTTTAAGACCCCCAGGGCATGCCTGAAACTGTGGATAGTAACAAACCCTATATATATGTTTTTTCCTATACATACATACCTATGATAAAGTTTAATTTAAAACTTAGGCACAGTAAGAGATTAATAATAATTACTAATAAAAGAGCATTTATAGCAATATACTGTAATAAAAGTTACGTGAATGTGGTCTCTCTCTCAAAATATCTTATTGTACTAAACTCACCCTTCTTGTGATGATGTGAGATGATAAAATGCCTAGATAAATAATTGAAGTGAGATATTGCTAGGCTACTGTTAACCTTCTGACCATACATCAGAGTAAGGATCATCTGCTTCATGTGATCCTAGATCCTCAAGGCACTATGATGTTGACAGTTGGATGTTGATGACTAGAGAGCCAGTAGTGTATACAGCATGAATCTGCTGTGCAAAGGGATGATTCACTTCCAGGGTCAGGGCTGGGCATGGTGGCTCAAGCCTATAATCCCAGAACTTTGGAAGGCTGAGGAGGGAGGACCATTGAGACCAAGAGTTGGAGACCAGCTTGAACAACATAGCAAGATGCTATCCCTACAGAAAATTTAAAAAGTTAGCTAGCTATGATGGTGTATGTCTGTAGTCCCAGCCACTTGGGAGTCTGAGGTGGGAGGATCACTTGAGCCCAGGAAGTCAAGACTACAGTGAGCTATGATCGTTCCGCTGTACTCCAGTCTGAGTGACAGAGTGAAGCCCCATCTCAAAAGCACACACACCCAGACCTCCAGGGTGGGATGGAGTAGGATGGTGCAAGATGTAGTCACAGTACTCAGAACAGCACACAGTTTAAAACTGATGAATTGTTTATTTCTAATACTTTCCATTTAATATTTTTAGACCACAGTTGACCAGGGGTGACTGTAACCATGGAAAGTGAAGCCATGGATAAGGGGAACAAACTACTGTCATGGGATTTTAAATTTGTTCTACCAGTTGGAAATGATGTTAGCATCAGAAAGAAAGTTCCAACTTAGTGCCCAACACAGTATCTAGGACCTATGGAGAAATTTAAAGTTTATGACATAGTCCTCTGCCCTGAAGAAATGAGAGCTAATGGCAGTTTCTCAGGCTACAAGCTTGAAAATCCTTTTTTACTTCTTAACTTGATCATCTTCATCCAGACTGCACCTCCAGGATAACTATCATTACATTTGATAAACAATTTCCTTTTTGAGATAAGTAGGGATTAGAAGGTGAGATTGCCCCAGGTATTCTTTCCCAACTACATAGTCCCCTCATCTGCCATCGAGTCACCCAAAAGAGATGTGTATCTACTGCTTTGAATTGTTTCTCACACCTACCCTTTTCCCTTTATTTTTACTACTTTAGTTCAGATCCTAACCCCCTCAACTCTAGTCTCTTAGCTAATCTTCTTAACATGTCTCCCTTTCAGTCTATGCTGATAGAATAACGTGATGAAAATACCTCTCTAGTTGTCATGTCCTTTCTCAGTATCTCTGGTGCCTCCCTGTTGTCTCTTCTGGTTCGTCTGCATTTTTCTGCCAGGCTTTCAGGCTTTAGAGTTTTATCTCTTTTAAAAATTGTGTTTAATTATAGTTCATCCTAGAAAATACTGTTTGATTTTATTTATAAATCCTCATTGGTTATGTTGACTTTAAATACTTCTTATAAAATACAGAGCCTGAACCTAGAGGACCAAATTGAGAGTGATGAGTCAGAACTGAAGAAATTGAAGACTGAAGAAAATTCGTTCAAAAGACTGATGATTGTGAAGAAGGAAAAACTTGCCACAGCACAATTCAAAATAAATAAGAAACATGAAGACGTTAAGCAATACAAACGCACAGTAATTGAGTATGAAGTTGTTTTCAATTTTAGTGTATTAGAAAGCGATTATGAAAAGCAAATACATTTTTCCCCCAGGATTTCAAAACCTCTATTTTCAAAAAGAGTTTAAACAGTTTTATCTTTATTTCACCTTTAGTTGACTAAAACAGATGAGTTAATTATAAAACTTATACTGCTAGGTCTAGATATAGAGATGGCTTAGCTACTCTTTTCCTAGATATACAGTTCCAATTCCTTTGCATCATTCTTCAGAAGGGTTCTGATGCTACTGATTATTTCAGTGCACTTTAGAGATAGTGGTTTAGCTTGCATCAGAATGAACTAACTGGCCTATCTTATAGTCCAGCTGGTCTGTAGAGTTACAGCATTTGTGTTTTGAGAAAAAGTCTTATATTCAGGTAAGAAGTAATACTTTCCTAAGTATGCAAGTATGTTTTTAGCCAGTATGTTAGGGTCCTTTATTGGTGAAGTACCCATCAGTTGTAAGAGTGTGTTTTTAAAATACCTGCCCCAGATATGTCTATGATGTCATTCCTTCAGTTCCTAAAAGGTATGTTAGCGATCATTGAGTGTTTCCTTCATACTGCCTCATGCAGATGAAAAAGGGCAGAACCTAAGGATTTTATATTTGTTGCCAAACTGCCTTGTAGAAAAGTTAAACTGATTCACACCGAAGTGTGTACAACTGGGGAAATGTAATTTAAAAATCTTCATTTAAAAAATGTGTTTATTTATTTATTTACTCATTCACTGACCCACCAATGAGGAAAAAAAAAAATCTCATTAATATATTGAGAGAAATAGTTCATGCTATGCTATGATGTGATTATAGCACCACTTTTTGGGGTTTTCGTGCCTTTGCTTTTATATCTTGAGAAGAGTTTTAGGTTTGTCAAACAAATACTGACACATGGTCACTTTGGAATCAAAACTAGAATTGTGTTTGCCTTTTTAGTTACTGAAGAGGATTAAATATTAGCTGTCTTGATTTTCTTTTAGGGATTGCAATAAAGTTCAAGAAAAAAGAGGTGCTGTCTATGAACGAGTAACCACAATTAATCAAGAAATCCAAAAAATTAAACTTGGAATTCAACAACTAAAAGATGCTGCTGAAAGGGAGAAACTGAAGTCCCAGGTGAATATGTGTTCATAAGTTCATTTCAGATAATCTCATATGTATTTGAGTTGTTAACTGAAACAAAACAGCTTACTTGGTCTCTGTGTGTAATGAGACTTTTAATGATACCTAAAATTATTTACTCCTTATTCTTGTTTTGAATATATTTACTGTAAAGCTTCATAAACAGTCCTCAGTTTAAGGAGAACAGGCGTCTTGTCTCCTACATTTTTATCTTTAAAAATGCTAGTACAATGCTAAACATAAAAGGTTTACCTGTTTCTATCCTTTTAACTGCCAGTGTCTCTAACAAGTAGTCTATTTCTGATATATTTATTATATATTTATTCTCTGCTTATCTTTTGAGTTTGATTTATATCTTCAAGAGTGTTCTACCAGAACAATAATTCAAACTGCTCTGCCAGAAACCACAAAAAATTGCTATTTATTATGCAAAAATCCCTTAGCCTCTTTTTTTTTCATTCTTTACCTTGTCTACATTGACAACTTACATCCAGATTTCTAAAACCACTGATACCTGATAAATATTTAAACATCTGCTGCCATTACTTTCTGCTATCCACACCCAATTTGTAAAAATTCTTAATACTAACAGAGCCACAATAGACAATTCCTTTATCTGTTCTCAGTACCTTATCCCCCAGAAAAATTGTGTTGTTAGCACTTGCACATGGTGAGCATTATCTTAAGGCTATGTTAAAAGGAAGGAAAGAAAAGGGAATGGAGCAAGGAAAGGAAGGGAAACCGGATGTAAAAGAAATAAAATGGTTGGGATTTCACTTCCATGGTCTTCCCAATACACTGGCCTGCTTTTTTCTGTTTTTTTTTTTTTTTTTGTATACCTCAACTACTTTTCTTTTTCCTGCCTCTTAACTTGATATTCACCAAGAGTCAGTCTGTCTAGTATGGCAATTAGAAAGACTTAGCACATATTTAATCCTGCTTCTTAACCAAATCTAATCAACAAATATTTATATGTTATAACGTGGTCTAGGAACAGTTAGTGAACCAGTTACTAACAAATTAGTAACTAGTTACTAACTCAGATTCGAGGCATCTTTGTCTGTCAGTTATGAGATACCCATGCCTACCTTATATTACTTTGAGTTTTATGCCTGTATGTCTTGCCAGTTACATTTTCCATTTCTTAACAGTAGCAACTGTCTAATGTTAACCTTAGCATATCATGTCAAACCATTCCTAGAATGCTGCCTTATGTGTAGTATGCTTTTCATAAATATTTATAGAATTGAAAGGTCATCTAGCATGGTGTTTCTTAAAACTAGCTGTGTATTCGAATTCAGTGAGGAATTTTAAAATGAACAAATCCTCACCCAAACACATTGATTAGCATCTCCAGCAATGGGGCCCATGAAATTGTGTTTTTTAATGTGGCATTTGAGAACCACTGATAGGCTTGGCTTAATTGTTTTCAGTGGTATAGAGTTTTCAATGGGTATGGTCACCCAAGCTGTTCTACTAGGGCAGCTTTAATTGTTAAAATTCTGTCTCTTATTTTGAGTTTAAAATATTTATTTCTGTACTCTGTAGTCAGCCCAGATCTTCTCTGTGGAGCAAATGTGTACCCTTTTCTGCTTAATAACCCTTCAGACATTTGAGGATAATGATCATGGTTTCTTTCAGCCTTCTCATATTCAGGATAATTAGTCCCAGTTTTCCACCATTCTTTATATAGCTTCATTTTCAGATTTATTACTGTCCTATTTATTGTCATCTCTATTTCCTATTTGTCATTATTCTGCTTAAGATTTAGAACCCAGTGCTAAACACAATCTTCCAAAATAATGATGTGACCAACAAGACCCAAAGCACATTTTTAATAAAGCATAATATTGGGGTGGATTTTTAGCAGCAGCATCTTGCCTTTGACTCATATTGACCCTGTGATCAACTAAAGGACTCCTGTCTTTTCCACATACAGTTCTGCCATGTTAAGAGTTTTTCACCATACTTTAGTGCAACTGTTACTGTTAATTCAGAATTTTACTATTTTAGGTTTTATTTTATTTTATTTTATTTATTTCAACCTAGATTTCAAAATGTCAAGGTTAGTTTAAATCTATCATTCCACCGTAACTATTTCTCATTGCTTAGTGTCACCTCAGATTTGATCTGCATGCATTTTTCTTCAAAATAAAAATGTTTACTAGAACAAGGTCCTTTGCTGCATTGCAATTTTTTCATCCTAGAGGCATAGAACTGTTGATCAAAACTTTGGGTACAATTGTTCAACTTGCTAAGTTGTTCTTACCTACCTTGATTCAGGCTACATTGTGATATCTATTTGTTACAGAAATGAGAAGGTCTCTAAATACTTTGGTAAAATCAAATACTTTGTGTCAAAGAACTCTCCTTAGCTTACTTTATAATCATCCTTGAAAAAGATAAAAGGATATATTATGATTGCCAAATTGTTCTTTGTGCAGTTCTGTTGCATTTTGTGATCATCATAGTCTTTTTTCGTTAAATGTTCTTTCCCATAGATAATTTATCTCTTCTAGTTTTAATTATTATCTTCATTTGGATAGCTTTCAAAAATCTATGTTTCTTGTTCTGGCCACTCACAACAAAAATAATATTTTAAAATTACATTCAACATTTTCCCACATCTGACCTCTTCTTCACCTTCTGTCTTTCCCTTTTCTCTTTCTTTTGCTCAACTTCTTCATAAATTTCTTTGTATTTCTCAATGGCATCATTTTCTATCACAAAACATTGAAATTTTGGACTTGCTTTAGATAATCCTGACATCCAGATAATCACCAAGTTAATTTCATGATTGCTTTTACATGGTGGTACTCTTCATACATGTACATAGCCCTTCATACATACAGCGCTCTTACTATTATACATCTATCACATAATTTTGTAGTAGTCATGGATTACAGCAACATTTGCCAAGTTTCTTTGATTTTAGATTCTTCTGCATCAAATATGCCTTGAATACTAAGTACTACCACATTTATCCTGCTAAAATATTATTCTCAATACTACATTTTCTTGTTTAAAACAAGGGCCATTTTCCTTCAGTTCATTCATTCACCCAGTCAGTATTTCAACAAATGGCCAATGTATCTGCTAGGTGTTGGGCTTCACAGTTGATTCAGAGAGTAAGTTGTGAACAAGGCAGGAATGATTTCCACCTTAGGACTTTAAAAATTTTCTATCTAAGCTAATCATTTCCATTATTTAAGGCCCAGTAGAAATTATGTCTTCCACATAACTTTCTTTTACTTCTTTGAAGTATCTTTCTCTCCTCTCTCAAATACTATAGCACTCTCAGTCTATTTCAAATAATCTGGATCTGTGCTGTCCAGTGGACAGCTATTAGTAATATGTGGCTATTTACATTTACATTTAAATTAATTACAATGAAATAAAATAAAAAATTTTTGTTCTTTATTTGCACTAGCTCTATTTCAGGTGCTCAATATCCAGTCTGTTCTGGTTATATGTTCATTTAGGAAAGAAAGCATAACTGGCGTCTTTCATTGTACTATTGTACTATTTACAGTGCTACTTATACAAAGTACCCAATAATATATTGGGTTAATTTATATGTATGTGATAAATGGCAACACTGGCTATAAGACTCCATGGATAGTATATAGTCTTAAATATTTCTGATTTGAAAAGTGAGATAGTTATCTAGACTGACACTGTCCAACAGAACTTTCTGCTATAATGAGAATGTTCTTCTGTATTGCTCAATACCGTAGCCAGTGGGCACATGTGGCTGTTGAGTCCTTGACGTGTGGCTGGTGCAACTGAGGAACTGAATTTTTAATTTCATTTGATTAAATTAAATTTGATTAAATTTAAGAAGCCACATATGTCTACTGGTTGCTATATTCGACAGCACAGAACTAGCCTTTGAGTTTAAAAATGTTTAGCTTCAACGAGGCCATCACAGTAAGACTTACTTATTATATGTGAATTAGGGTGGATTAATATTATAAAATTCCACTTGGATATAGAATTTAATTGAAAATGCTAAAATACATAGTATTTGTCAGGGATACGATCTGTCACCATTAAACATCTTGTGAGGGTTGGCTTAGAACTTCAAATGTTTTTGTCTCTGCGCCTGTGCCACTGGAATTGGGCCTTAATGTTTCATTCACTTGTGGCTGTACCAGCAGGATTTTGCTCCTCCTTGAGAGTGTTATTTGTTCTCAGAAGGAAAGTATTCCTTTGGGTGTTTTGAAATGGTTGGTTCAGATACGTACAGATTGGATATCTTAATTTAGTCACACTTAGTTTTGATAGTTTCTCATAAGTAATATCTTTCTACCAAATTTATTCAGCTTTCTTTTTTGGAATGAATAAACATATACTCATATAGAACTAGAAAATTAAATTGATTTATAGCTGCTGAATGTGCTGTTTTTTTTTTTTTATAATGGCGTTCACACAAGCTAGCAACTAATTCACCTTATTTTTCCTACAAGATTTAAGAAATAAAGCCTTCAAAAATTTTGATTTATTTTCCTATTGGTTCATATTCTATCATAGTTGTAGTAATTTGATACCTGCTTAGATCTCAGAAATATAAACACACTCTTCTATTTTTGTGTTAGGATTTAATAACTATGTTTGGATTTCTGGAGAATGTTTAGTCTTAAGCATATATTTACATTCACTTAATCTGTAGTAATAGCTCTCAAACTTGCATAGGTGGCAGAGTTGCTGGAAATAGTGTTCTTTTTTGGAACACTGAATTTATACTATATCAAATTATAATCTATGTAATTTATTCAGATAGTATCTCTGCTAGAATTTAAACTAAGATAAATAGTAGCCAAAATTATAGGCTTAAGAAAAATTTAGTGGGAGAGACACTTAAAATTGAGAACATTGTATTCATATACTGCTTTTCTTCCCCCATTGGAAAAAGATGGCTATTTTATTTCAGTGGCAAAACACATCCTATAACCTTGTAAAATACCAATTTCTTGTGGTATTATGTATATTATAGTTTGAGAATTGTTTTGTCTAAGAAATAAATAATGAAAGGAGGATCAATATTATATTTGACAAGTATGAAATGGAAGAAAATGTGTACAGGCTAATTTGCTGCTTATTTAATCTATAAAAATTGTTTTTTTATTTTTTAAAATTCTTAGCACATCCATATAGGCTTGAACTATCTGATCAGTTTATTCAAACAACTCTAAAAGGTATTAATATATTTTTCAGTCTTATAGATTGCTTATTAAATCTGTTTGCATACCTTTTAAATGATAATCAGGGTCAAATGCAGAGAGTATAGTTATCTACAGTAATGTAGTTATTTTCCATGTTTAACATGGAAAGCTCTAAAGTAAATTTTTCCTTGATAATTATAAATATGTTTGTTCTTAATATATTATAATCCTAACCATTTGTCTCACGTCTCTCCTTTGTTCAAGTAGCAAACTTTTTTGATGTGTTTGTACAGCTTATAGAATGAATTTTTAATAAAAGCAGACATGGACATGCACATTTGTATGTGTGTGCATAAGAGTTTAGGCTTTAAAATATTAATAAATATGAATAAACTTGGAATTCCTATAACTCATTTGTAGTTTAGGTTGTTGCATGGAATAATTTATATTCTGTTTCATTTTCTACCTAGGAAATATTTTTAAACTTGAAAACTGCTTTGGAGAAATACCACGACGGTATTGAAAAGGCAGCAGAGGACTCTTATGCTAAGATAGATGAGAAGACAGCTGAACTGAAGAGGAAGATGTTCAAAATGTCAACCTGATTAACAAAATTACATGTCTTTTTACAAATGGCTTGCCATCTTTTAATTTTCTATTTAGAAAGAATAGTTAAGTTGAAGCGAACGGAAGTAACAGAAGTACCAAAAAATGTTGGTTTCATCAGTTTTTATACACTCTCATAAGTAGTTAATAAGATGAATTTAATGTAGGCTTTTATTAATTTATAATTAAAATAACTTGTGCAGCCATTCATGTCTCTACTCTGCCCTTTGTTGTAAATAGTTTGAGTAAAACAAAACTAGTTACCTTTGAAATATATATATATATATATATATATATATGTTTTCTGTTACTGTAATGGCTGTTGTTTTGTTTATTGACATAGAGAGTTGTGGCATTATTGAGTCCAGACTGCCCTCAGCATTGTGGTTGAGATATCATTTGATTCTTACTTAAGCAATTTTTTTGCTTAAGTAGATATTTTTATTACTACATAGATAAAGCAATTATAAAGGTCCTAAAAGATCAGATAGCTGAAGCAAAATTTGAACTCTACTCTGTATGATATTGAAGTCTAGATTGTTTCAATGTACCACACTTTCCAATGTAGTTAATTGAAAGAGAAAGTTTGAGTTTAGTAGTCAATTTCTTCATTGATGCGACTGGCATTTTTTTCAAGAAAAATGAGTTAATATTTGTAAAGTAACTAAAACAGTGCCTGGCACATGGTAAACACTCGATAGCTCTTATCTATTAGTATTTAAGGTCATGGAAGCTCTAGGTACTTTCCTTTGTCAGAGATAATAAAATGTTATTTTAGGGAGTGACCAGGCTTTCAATGAAAGGGAAAGCCCTGGAATGGAAGGAGCAGCAAAAACTGGGTGTGCGGGGAAGAACAGATGGGGATACAAAATTGAGCTATTGCCTTTTCCTTTCCTAGCTTCTCTTTAAATATTCATGAGTTTTCCTTCAGAGAAAGGGCTGCCTCTAAGGCAAGGTAACAGGTATAAACATCACCAAATATCTCTTGTATTTTAAAAAGTTTGACCCCTTGGACCTATCTCCACCTTTAACTACTGCACCTTTTTTCACAACCAGATTTCTAGAAAACCTAATCTATACTTGTGAATTAGTTTCATTCCTTGTTCATCACAGAAATGTTATTTCTGTCCATGCTAATCTTCTGAACTTTCTAAGGTCACCAAAAAATTCCTAGTTACCAAAATTTCATGCATACTTTTTAAGCTTTCCTCAAATTCTACCTATCCAGTGCTTTTTTCATTTTGTCTCAGTAACACCTCTCTGTTGGTTCTCTTAATTCCCTGTTAATTTTTCCACCCTAGAGCCTCATTCTGTTTTCACCTCTTGTGTTTCTGTTCTATGTGCTTCCACCCTTGCCTCTCCTTATTGTAACCTCTATATTCCTCCTTGAAAATTTGTATCTATATCCACAGCTTCCAGCACAAGTTAAACACCTGTAAACTTAACTACATTTATGTTTCTTTTATCATATCTCCTGATTTTCAGACTTGCATATCCAATGGCCAGTAGGTGTATTTAACTTATTGGCATTCTGATGAAGCTTAATAATGGACCCTTTCAGAATAATGGGTTTAATACATGATATAAAATACAGGATAAAAAGGGAAACCAATTAGATTCAAATATGATTATCAAATATTTAAAAACATATTATGGTTACTAGTATCACTAGCTACACTTGTGCCATGTTGGGAAAGGGACTCATCCACTTTCTTATGCTACTACACCTCACTCCCTTATATCCATTTAGTTAGCAAGAACTACAGATTAATGTACCCAAATCTCCCTTTCACATCTCCTTTGCTTATGTTGCAAGTTGCATCCTCGTCATTACTGTACTGGCAATAATCTTACCAGGCTCCCAGTCTCCAACCCATTTCTATAAAGGCATTCGAGTATTCTATCATGCAGATTAGATAGTGTCTGTGATCTGTGCAGTTTTTTAGCTTTTCAAATTGTCCTGCCAGGGTATATTAGTGAACTCACAGGGGAATCATGGAATATTTTAAATTTCCAAAGGAAACAACATATTTGATATTTGTGGGATGCCGTCACAAACTACTAGTTCAAGGTCATTCAGAATTACAATGTTAAAGCATGCTACATTTCTTTCAATGACATCATATTGAGAGGTGACAATGTGCTAGCAGCCCTCAGCGCCGCCTCGGCCTCCGCGTCCACTCTGGCGGTGCTTGAGGAGCCCTTCAGCCTGCCATGGCACCCTGGGAGCCCCTCTCTGGGCTGGCTGAGGGCGAAGCTGCCTTCCTCTGCTTGTGGGGAAGTGTGGAGGGAGAGGCCTGCGTCTGAACCAGGGCTGCACACAGCGCTCGCGGGCCCGTGCGAGTTCCGGCGT